AGGATCTCCGTAAACTACATCCACCACTCCTAAAAACTTCAGTCTCGCATGGGCTCACTAGTTGTTGTAATCTTTACACCCAGCTACTGACCATGCGCCCTACTTAATGAACTCATCCAAAACCCATCTTCGTGTTGTGGTTTCTGAATCTACTGTATGTAAACCGTTACACACAAGACCCAAGATGAAACTAAGCCTCGTCTCTTTGTAGCCGGTGCATATTGTGCATAACTTGTGTTCGTTCCAAGCTCCTTGCATCCAAAATTCATCATCACACCTGGCCAAACCTCCCCAGCTACAGATCACCTACAGGTCAAACACATATTGTTTGACCCAAATTATGAACAATCATACGGGCAAAAGACTGGCCCAAACTCGAAGTTTCCTCCTTGGAGTCAGCCCGTTTCTCTTCTTCAACCCGGCTTCTGCCAGCGTCAGCTGTCCAAGCTGCTGTTGGAAGATCGCTGGTCACTTGTGTGGCCAGCCAAGCGCGGAAAGCCTATCCAGTGCTTCAGCAACACGGAGATGTTCGGCTTTCACGGCTCTCTACAATATGTGACAGGACCGTACATGGAAAAGCTATTCACTCTGCACAGCAAGGAAATCACTGAACACCAGCAATTGTCACCAACAAGTGCGACTCGATACTCGATGTGCTGCAGAATTCCGTGTTTCCAACACATCTGCTCGTGGCTCGCTCGTCCATTCGATCAGCCTGAGCATCAAAGTTGGATCCCTTGGTGGCGGCGTACCTGGTCGGTTTCGGCGAGAGCCATGCACTGGTTTCGGCGAGACCGAGGGGATCCGAGAAGAACTGGGGAATGGGCATGAATGGCCTATTCCCAGCTTCCCAGGTAGTGGCACTAGGTGGTCACCAGTGGCCCCACCACACGGGTGAAACCCGCTCATGTGATTGCCATAGTTCAGTCAGACAGTCAGGGGTTACCCCTGACTGAACTGGGGCAATCTGTTGAAACTGGCACCAAGAAAACCGAAGGTGAACCTTTTTGGGTTGTATCTGACTAAGGCTGCATCTAACCAGAACAACGCAAGGCCAGTTGGGTACGGTATGGCTCAAAAAATAACACCTGCCAACTTTACATTGACATGTTTTCCTCATGTGCCAGCCACACCGGGTACATTTGGTGATTGTGGTCATTAAATACAGATTCCATGGCTTTCCAATACCCCCATGGCTGGCCTAGGATGTTCGCTGTCCGTTTGCTCAGCTCTTCAGCCAGACTCTTGAGGCCGCCACAATCTCGGCAGCAATCGCTGTGCCTGCCTGGCGAAAAAGGATATCCACAAACATGGGTGCACACGCCATCTTGGGCGAAAAAAACAACAGTGAACCACAGGGAGCGAAACAAACACCAAAAAAAACAGCGAATCACCAAACACGTCGCGCATCACGAAACACCACTCACGGGAACCCGACCGGGGCGGTCTCCCAGCCTAAGATGGAAGGTCTCATCTTTGTCCTTGGTCACCCAATGAATCACTCGAGGAGATGCCTGCGAACTGCGTGAACTCGAGGATGGGGAGGGATGAGGGAAAGTGTAGCCAAGAAAAGGGACCTGTACCAAGATTTAAAGCAAGACATTCGTTGATATCCACTTCCCCAGAGTAGTGGGGCTATAGATTGGAAGCACCCTCAAATGCAAAGGGTTTTGAAGGTCGAAACCTCTGCTATGGAGGGTATGTCCTCAAATTAATCAGGGGTGTCCGGGCACGCCCAGTTGTTCAAGAGACCTAATTGAACACTGATGATCACGACATATCATGTCTTGCAAAGGGCAGTTTCAATGAGGCATGTTAGGCAGACCACTACGGTGGCACCTAGGGGTTTTGTTTGACTGTCACTCAGCAGGCCCTTAAGACTAGGTTTGAAGATGTTAAAACTCCATTTTGTGTCGGTGATTATATATATACAGTATATATAATATATGACCATATAGCTCAGCCCCCCCCCCCACGACCCCCCCCAAAGCAACCAAATTGTCAGTTTCAAGCCATTGGTTTTCTTGATGGTTGCATTGGTTTTGTAGATGGTTGCATTGGTTTTGTAGATGGTTGCATTGGTTTTGTGGATGGTTGCATTGCTTTTGTGAAGGGCTGCAAACACATTGGAGATGGGGTATTGTCATTCGTTTGATGGGTACTTGACAGACATATCATATTGAATGTGGAGCCTTGGTAATGATTTGGTGTGTGTGTTTGTCGGACATATTGACTATGGAGCAGTAGTGGAAATGGCAGCAAATGCAAAGGTGATGGAGAAGCCAGATATGCGAAGCCAGACATGTAATCCTACATGAAGCGTGGAAAGTATGGTGTAGGCTCAAGATGCTACAGCATAGACCTGTTTGACGACATCTTGTCAGTAGACGCAAAGCAGCAAACTCTTTTTTGGCAGCCAGTGAAGGATTAGGCACGAAGATCCTCAAGCATCCGGCCAGTGGCAACCCAGAGGTTCTGGCTCCGGTGCCAGTACGTCCACTGCGCGGCTCGAATTTTACGAGCCAGGGCAATGGAGCCGACTTTGCGGGGGCGTACTTGAGGGAGGTGCGCAGGTGGCCCCAGAAGCGGTCGATGATTTGTGTGCCGGCTTTCACGATCACACGCTTGCCACAGGGAAGCTTGTGTTTCCAAATCTTTGTGTAGTGGGGTTTCACCCACACCTGCTTGCCGAGCAAACGAGGGTTGATGGACTAAGGCTGCGCCAACATCACAGTTTTCGGTTTTTTGGGCGATAGAAGGTAAGACAAGAAACAAACAAAACACAAAAAAAACAAAACCAAAAAAGCCAAAACCATCAGGATAGGAGGATATCCAAAAACAAAAAAAAACAACTAAAACTATGAGGATAGGAGGATCTCCCATGAGGTGATGTTTGTTTGTTTTTTTTGTCCAAGGGGCCCTCCCCAAGATCTCCAATGAGGCTGTTTTCTATTTTTGTTTTGTTTTTGTTTATTTTTTTGTCTTGCTGTGGTATTCATTTTCTTGTATTTTGAAGCATATAATATAAGAGGCTGAATATTAGTGAAGGAGGGTACCATGTAGCACTTTTTTGCTTTATTTTGTGATACAAAACATATGCATAAGACACTGTAAATTACAATACAAACAGCATGTCGGGGGGTCGTGGGGGGGGGGGTGACCATATACAAATATATATATAATGTCTTTCAGTGTTCATCTGCCATGGTGGTGATGTGAAAACAACGAAAGATGGAACCAGGAACACAAACAGATCTGTGCTCTGTCGTCTGAGCGAAAGTTCCCGATTGGTTCCCAGTTGGTGTTCTCCCGGCATCACGGTGGACCTTCTCCCTGGCCTTGCCACGTATCCGCAGCTTTGGGCTACGGGGCAGAACCATGGGGCCACACTATTGGAACTCCCTCCCCACGAAGCCAGCTGCGAGCCGAGAACAGTTGCACCAGTCATATCGTCAGCATGCATGTCGTGCGCAGGATTCATGCATACAGTATATGGCTTGAACACCAGGCAGTGGCACACAGAGATCAGAGAGCAGAAAGCTCGCTCCGTTCATGCAGGGGAGAAAGACGTCCGTTTTCGCATCCTGGGATTAAAAACGTCTCAGAGAGACCTGGATTCACGAAAGGGGGTTCACAAGTCCCGGCGTCATCGGCAAAGCCAGGGTCTATCTCATCTAAAACGCCTAACAAATCTAATTTGGGTGTAAAACACTTTTACAGCAAATAATCAGGAACAGAACATCTCCAGTATCTGTAACTGAGTGCCGGTCATCTATGGGTCGGTCACCTTCACTACGATGCCTTCAGCTTCGTGGCAATGGACGGTGTCGGGCAGAAATGGAGTCTGAGGGGACCTACTAATACTGTAGGTCCCCCCAAAGGCATTTTATTGAATATGCATCCAAACATCCTTCAACTGGCTCAAGCTGGTGCAGGGACAGAGCGGGAGTGTGTTTCACACCAACATGATCTGTAAAGTGGGCAAAGAAAAAGCACAAGGGGGGCGTAGGCAGCAAACGGGAGATTCCTGAGGACTTGCAACGTTCCAGAGGTGCTTTGGCTTCGTGGAACGGCTAGGAAAATGATACCGCTCCGTGTTCAACTTGCTTCAGGGTGGGTGGGTGGGTGTGCTGCTTGGTTCTTATGACACTCCCATCATGATACATTCTTGTGTGTGGATTGCGGCCTGACCTGAAAGCTCAAGTGACATTATAAGACACGGTGCATCTAGTTTTCACCGAGCGTGCGTTCCTGTCCCTCTTTCATACTGAGTAGGGGGTGAGTGGGCGGGTGCTAAAGTGATGTTCGTTGTGATTGCAACGTCAAATGATGTTGATTCATTATGGAACAGCTACCAGGTAGCAGCCACCAACATGTTGCCACGGAGATGATATTACAGTCTATGAGTCTATGGCTCTTGCTCTCTTTTGACAACAACAATGTAAGGCATGGGGTTTTCCACGCAATGCTTTGAACTATGCATTGGGGTCCATGTGATAGATTTGGAGAACGCAAAAGACTGACTTGACTATCAGGATCTATCAGGCGTCTGTGCAATGTGTGCTGCAAGAATACAACTATTTACAAGCAAAAACCTTCCTGTCAATATACTACTGGCAGTATCTGGCAGTGGACATTTGATGCGTTCCAAAACAAGCACCAACCTCATCAAACATCATTGTAATTACAAAATTACTGCAATCATCTGCAATCACTTGTATGTCCAACAGACATATTTCAAGGCGTATTGTTTCAACAAACTCCGTTCCGACACAACACAAATGAACACACTCACCGACTGACACCCGTTCCAACTCCACGTTTTGGACACAAACCCCTCCGTAGATCCTTGGCTCGACTGTCAGGGAACCCCCTGTCTGGAGCCAATGATTCGACTAAGACCGGGCATTGCCCGGCCTCTAGTGGCTTCCACAACTCACAGTTCCTAAGACCCAAACGATGTGTAACAAAATTAGTTAGGAAACATAAGGTTCCCAATTCTCTAATGCGCCTTTGTCCCGGACAAAGGTCCGGGGGCAAAAGGACCGCCTTCCGGGAAGCCAGATTAAAATCAAAAGTGTTCAAAAGTGAGGCATCCAAGAGTCTCTAGGGATCCGTTCGACCACCAGATCGTCTTGGAATGGAAAAGGGAAAATGATGCAAAAGCCGCCCAACTGCGAGTCTTAGACTTCGTGGACGGCTTAGCGGCATAGCCCATCTCACTTGAATTTGCCTGCGAGACTTTGGAATGTGTGGCAAACCACTGGTCCCCAAAACAAGAGATCATGAACATGTCCCTCTTCCGGGGTGTTGGATCTGAATCTTTTGCGGCCTACGGCCATAGGCTTGTGGGCCAAAATCTTCGGCGCGTCAGTGTGAATCCAAGGGTGTGAGGTGCGAGAGACACTCGATGTTGATTTCGCATGACATGTCTTGGGCCAGGTACAGTTCACACCGCACTTGCTAAACAAGCCACTTAGGAATGAAGGCACATTCCAAGCTCAGGAGGAATGACCCATCACCCCGTGGCCGATCGAATCTCTATAGCGGAGGGGGAAGACCCTACTGTTTGACACCAGAATCGATCAACGGGGATCTCGGAACCATCGGATGCTCGGAACCTTCGCACCAGGCATTGGAACATAAAGAGTTGCAAATCACGAGATCACATAGAAATGTCTGCCGTCCCCTGTGTCCTGTCCCAGAGGGAGTTCGTTCAGAGCTCTTCCTTCTCATGCCTAGGCCGATCTGGGGCGACGTTTTTTCCACGGAAGAAACGATGACATGTAGACCTGGACATGCAGCATTCAAGGAAAACAACCTTCACCATCCATCACCATTGATCAATGATGTAATTCATTTGGTGCATCCCAGGCAATGCATCCGAAGTACAAGGCCAAACGCTGGGTAATTACGGCTAAGGCTCCGGACGCGCAGTTCTCGCCATCAGGGCACTTGGTGTGGAAGGCCCTTTTTGCCGAGCGCAGTTCACGTGGCAGAAGGAGTCTATATTGCAGCCATTCACAGACCATCTGTCTTACCGATTTAAACATGTGTTGCTTATATCTTCCAGCATTTCGTGTAATGTTCATCAATCTCAGCTTACCTTCTTCTCCATGACGCTTGCAGGACCAACCTTTCAAATTTTTCGCTCCGTCTACGGAATCTCAGCTGCCTCACTGGCCACTGAATCGGGTCGCTAAGAGCAGTGCTTGCAAAGTTTGAACTTCTGCAAGTTGGGAAGACGTCGGAACTCGCCCAGCGCATGGGCATACCTCGCGGTATGCGTTCTCCCCAAGTCTTGGCCAAGAAAATATGTTGTCGAATTGTGGGCTCTCAATGGTGAGGATCTATGCATGTGAAAAGCATTTGGATAAATTGGAGAAGTTTATAACTAAAGTTAACTATATATATTATATAAATATATATTATGGACACCAAGATCCCCAGCTAGGTTGGCAGAAAGCAAAGGAATGCATGAACACCCTGCTTTCTCATTGAAAACACAGTGTTCTGGGATGAGCAAACTTTTGAGCAGCTCAGACATTTGAGCAAAATAATATCTGAAGACTGATTCATGAATCTTTTGTCCAACGCAAACAAGTTTGCTTTTAAGTCAATTTCTTCTGATATGTTTGGTCCACAAAGCCCGAGATGATCTGAGCCCCGAAGCATTTTGCTCTTCAGAGGGACAGGGACAGCACTGTCTGGCTTGTCCTGACCAAAACATGACCGCCCCAACATTCTTGAGAAAGATGCAAAGGCTGAATAACATGTTGATTCCCCTGAAAGGATGCTCTCAAGATTGTTTCCTTTTCTTTTTTCACCCACGTCTTAATTGGTTCCAGAACAAGACTTGCTGGTAGCCGCCCCTGTCCATAGCTGTCGCCGAAAATGTCGGTGAGGAGAATGACCTGATCGCGCAATGCACGGGACTGGAGATGACCTCCCCTTGTCTCATGGAATCACAACTTGAGAGTGGAGGGGGTGAACGAAAGGTAGCAGGTAATCACAAGTAACCCTGGAATCCATGACGGCGTGAACCGGCGCAGGGGGATTTGATCCAGGGCCCCCCCCTGACGAACAGAATCATCTCTTACAGGACCAAACTCAATGCACAATGCCAACTCCTGATTGTAATACATTTTTGCTAAAGCAAGGAGAACTCAGGTAGCTCAAGCTACCTTTCGTGATGATCCCAACCTTGAAATGAGAACAAGGGAGCCAACTCATGGTCCTCATTGCATAAACATGTTGAAACACTCCATTGGACCCATTGGACGTGCCTACCGCAAGCTGTAATTGACCCCGGGGTCAATGTGGTTGTGTATATGTGTTTGTTATATTTTGTTTATATATACAGTGGTTTGAGTAGATGGCACAAACCCAAAAATGTCTTTTATATGGGGGTCCATGTAAACGACCTTTTGGGGATTGTGCCCATCTACTCTGAAACCACTGTGTATCTTCCAGTCCTGCCTGGGATTCAAGCACTCAGTAAACATAGTTTAGATTACATGCTTTTTCAATACATACATGCGTACATATGTGCGGCGGCATTTATTTGGTATCTATTATGTGGGGGCCCTATCTCGTTTAGACTACTTAAGTAGGCGGTCAAGTCACAGTATCTCGTTCAGGCTACTTTAGTAGCAAATCACACAATCTCGTTCAGACCACTTTAGTAGTGTAATCAAGCAAAAGTATCTCGTATATGTGGGGGCCCTATCTCGTTCACAAGCGAATACTGATGATAGACTAGACAAGCAAATAGAGCATGCCGTAGACTACTTTAGTGAAGCCTAAATAAAAGTGGTTGCTCATGTATATATATATATACCTTCGTACCTGGGACTTCCTTTGATGGATGTTTCAAAGGCTCGCATGAAACACACCACCAAAAAATAAAACAAACACAATACAGTTGTAGAATGCTTGTAGAGTCATTCCCATCGTAATGTTGGATGGAGATTGACAACACATTGCAAAGCACAGGTGGGAGAGAACTTCTGGTTTGCTTGTGTTCCAAATCTAGCCCTTCAAGCTTGAAGCTGTTCACATGTTGTTTTTGCATTTTCAGCAGTTTTACGCTGGCTTTATCTTGATTGAAACTGGAAGAACCCCAAAACACAACCAACGAAAAATAAACGCCAAGAAAAGCACAACGCGGACAACATTACAACACGGAAGAAAAACAACTTCTGGGATAACAATTTCACAGAAAATTCTGTTTGACCTAGCGTCAGCTCAGTCTTCATAAGTCTCAAGCCTTGGGGTATGTGGGAGGTTTCGTCTCATGGCAAACAAGGTCCAGGTAGACATATTATTCAATAACATTCAATAACAACTTGAATGACGTGGAAGACCTCGTCCACAGGTTCGTAGACGAAGAACTGCCGCAGGAAGCCTCCATGAAAAGCATCCAGTGGATTCTTCTGTAAAGTACTGCATCTCAAAAAAAAATCCTTTTCTTCAACCTCAGGTCCCTCCTGTTCTGCAGTCATTCGCTGGGTGTCCGGGCTGTAGCCCAGCCTGGCATCACTGGCATCACTGGACGATCATATGTAACTCGCTGGCATGTTTGGCCTCTAATAGCAGCTTGCCTTTGTACAAACCCATAAAATCTCGGCTCGTTAGCACCGAGCCTGAGCAAAGTTGGATTCGTTGGCACCAAGCCTGGGCTACGCAGAAAGGCATGCATCGAGGCATCGGAATGTGTTTACGCCGTTTACACCGATTCCTTACCATAATTACCGCCCTTGGCTCTCCAAATGAGGCGCAGCCCTATGGCTTTTGATCCCAGGGGTTGAACGATCAAGAACAAAGGTGAACCTCTGGAAGCTACATCAGCCCAAGCGTCGTCTACAAGGACCAAATCGGTGGGCAGATTCGGTCGGTGCCGGTCCAGTCGCTCAAAAAAAATTCTAACGATGTCACATCGTCTGATGCTTTCTTTGCCCAAACGAGAGTAGCATTTGGTACAGCCAGTTTACTTTTCAAGCCATGCTCGTCCCAGCTCCTCCCAGCACATGCTGTGTTAGCCAGTCGCCCAGCTCTTCAGCCCTTCATGCTGAGCCACAATCTGGGCAGCAATCGCTGTGCCTGCCTGGCAAAGTACAGTAAGAGCAGATTTGCAACATACGACTCCCATGGCGACACATAGTGAGTATGTTGTTGATCAACAACCAAACAGCCTTTGCCAAACAGCCAGCAAACTTGTAGGAGTCCCCTTCACACACCCCTTGCTAGAAACCCTGATCCCTAAACCCATCTCATCTTCACTTGCCTATCTGGTTGCTACCATCCACTTGCTACCATCAGCTTTTTCGGCTCGGTATGATCGATATGGTCCTTCGATGTTAGATTCAACCACCAAAGGCAGCGGGGGAGAACTAGCTGAGAGGCCCTGAAGTTGAGGGATCAACCGTTGTGTCTTTTTCAGCAAGCTTGCGCTCCCGGCAAACTGGCCCCTGACCGTTTCAATCCTCAACCCTGCCGGGCCACACAGCTGGATATGCTGGGCCACACAGCTGGATACGGTCACTCTGGGCCTCACAGCTGGATAAGTCTCATCCTTCTCCTTGGTCTCTCTCACCCAGTGGATCACTCGGGGAGGCGCCTGGCCGGACGTCACCCACTCGGAGCTTTACGGACGGCGAACGGAGGTGCGTGGCTGTCTGGGAGAGAAAATGGATTTGGACGAAGAATGAAGAAGAAACTACTGGTGGTGGGGCAAGGATCCCTGAAGAACTGTAAATCAAACCATTTAGTTCAGGAGAGTTTGAGCGAAACGTTTAAGGCCATGGACCTTCTTTGTTCCATAGTTGCAAATGGAACTGTTCATTTACTCTATTCTTTGAACGTAGTTGAGAATATATATATGTGTGGAAACCCGAGTCGGACTCCATACCGACTGTCTGACTCTTGGCCCCGGGAAGAGGTTGGAGCCAGGAGTCGGTGGAAGACCGGGCTGATTTCCAGCTGCTGATGTACTGGTGGATTTCCCATTTGGGGAAGGAGGACAGTACTGAGGACAGTATATAGGTGGGAAAAAGTGGTTGGAGGTTGGATTTCCCGAAATTATACTCGAGTAATCGTTGATATCCAATTGCTAGAGCAATCGACAGTATTGAGGCTACAGACTTGATCTACGCCCAGGTTTTGAGTACCTTGAACGCTGCCCCGTCTGGCCAGTTTCAGGTCGCCTTGAGGAGCACTACAACCAGCAATCAATAGAGTGCATCGTCCAGTAGGAGAGCACTGCTTTGTTGGGCTAGCGGCTAGCGGCTATCACTCAGCAGCCGCTTCAGTGTCAAAAACCCTTCATCACTCATGTCGGTGAACAACAAATGCCATGGTGGTGATTTGAGAACAAATGGATCGAGAATCACTCAAACATTGTTACTGTGGAATCATGTACAACATCCCACTTTGCGCGACCTCTGGACCCGCTCCCGGCCTTGCTGCGCAGCTTGGGGCTACGTGGCAGAACCATGGGGGGCCACACGATTGGAAACTCCCTCCCCACAAAGCCAGCTGAGCGGCGAGAACACAACCGCACGATTCTCACTAGCATGCATGCCACAGAACAAAAGCGGTCGGTTCACCCAGGGAATGGTAAATTCTTTCATAATCTTTCATATGGGATTGAAGTGGTAGACGATCTGGATTCACATGAGGTTGGCTATGGTTCACTGGTCCCCCAGAACTACAACCCACAAATGCTTAAGCCGGAGGAGTAGACCGAGGGCGTGATGCACAGATTGTCAGGCACCGAAGGATCCAAACCACTCTTTCCTGCACATCAAACGGTGAATTGGGCAATGCCAAACGGGCACTTTCCGGGAGATTCCAACTGACACGCTGGGCGTTTGCCCAGCTACTGGCTTCCGCAACTCCAAGCGACCCCAACTCCAACGTCCACTGATCAGAACTTCTGTGATCCATTCAACCCATGATCTTCTGGACGAACGTGGAAGCCAAACAGCGGCGATTCCTAGACTCTGGACGGCTCACCCCATCTCGCATTGAAGCCTGAGCGCGAGAAAGGAATCTATTATAAAAGAAACTGGAAACAAAATGACGGGTTCTTCTGCAACAATGCTTCGCTACGATTGACATGTCACTTGGAGTTCCAAGTTATGAGGAATATGATTCACCTTCCTGACACCGTGAAGACTGATGTTCGGAACGGAAGCACCATGCAGCGGGAGCCAAGCAAGAGTATAACATATCAAACACAGCATCCATGGGCAGCCTTTTGCAAACAATCGCCCGATTTCAGATGTTCACATTGAATTGAAATAACATCGATGGGACCCTGACGACACTCGTCTTGGACGACGCTCGCCATATCGCGCGAACTGGCGTGGTCAGCTGGAGTTGGCCATGTATGGCAGTGAGCTTACTCTCACAGCAGTTTTGCCTTGGGCATACTGCCTGCCAGCTTTTGTGGACTTTGCTCCCCATGCCACATTAGTTGCCAAGAGCAAATCTTTGAGAAAATATTATATATATAATTATATATATAGACCAAACAATGTTGACATGTTTTGACTTCCACACCAATCGATGAGCTCAATCTGCAAGACATTTGCAAGCTGACATTTGCAACACTAGCAATCACATCCACTTCTCTATGACCAAGCTCCCTGACATCAAAAAATACTGCCAGTCCCCAGGTTGTCCCCACTCACTGGCCTCATTGGTGAATTCTGACTCAAGTGCTACAAACTTCCCGGGATATGTGCGGTGCAGGCAAACCCGTTGTGCACATTACAAATTGAAATACTGAAAATGCCGGCATGCGCTTCGCGCAAGGGGCTGAAGCCGTCAGTCCCCAACTCATTGCATATTTAACCATTGCCATTCTGCGGGTCTGGGAAGCAGCGAGGAGGAGACGACTCTGCCATGTTCAAATCCTTGAAGTATTGAAGTCCGATTCATCATCATCATCATCATCATCATCATCATCATCATCATCCTGTGCTCCCAGTGCATCCTTGTCCTCATGTTCCTCTTGGTTATCTGCCCCAGTTTCCTTATTCTTCAATTTGGCTGCTTCTTGAGCAAGTAAGGTGAAACTCTGAGCTGCTGTCTCATCCGCTCTCTTGACCTTGCTGGTATTACTCAGTCCTTTTAAGTCGACGGTGATCTTGTTTGGGCTCATGGTCATGATATCATCGAAAGTCTCATCAAATCGAAAGTCAGAAGGGTAGTAGCACTTGTTGGCAAAAACCTTCTGCATATAGGTCTGATCCGTCCCTTCAAGCTGCACCACGAAGGCTAAGAACTTTTCCTGACAGTTCTCACTGTTCAGACCACAAATGGGACTCTCCTCATCCAAGCGGTGCAACAAATTCCACACCGCACGGAACATCATGTTCGTCGCCCGTTCCAGCTTGCAGGGAGCTAAGATCCTCCCGGAGGCAGTGAGTCAGGACGTTTGCCTTCAACAAAATCCCTTCCACCAAACACCAAACCGCATTACTTTCAAAAGAAGCTCTGCCTCTCGTCACCCCCTGGCCCAGTCCTCATCCCTGCCTTCGGATCCTTGACGAGCGCGCTCACCCGGCAGGTGACGTCAAACAAGCAGCTGAAGGGCCGCTCGTTCACGATCCGGAAGGTGATCGTGGGAGTTCCTCGCACATCCGTGACCAACGCCACATCCGAGAACGCCACGCGGGAGCCTTGGCGGTGCCGCGGTGCCGCGCACCTCCGGCCCGCCGGAGGTGGAAATTCCATGGATCTTTCTCTACCAACTCTGGTTTACCAACGTAACAGTAACTAGTGGAATTCAAGGCTTACAGGCAGTAATTATATAGTGGTTCAATCCTTTATGAGTACACCATGGTGAAGGATGAAAAGAAAAAGGAGGATGAGAATGGTGGATGAGAGGACCAGCTAGCATGATTTCATGCAAATGGCATGGAAAAAGAGTGGATCAGAATGTTATCTCTCAAGAGATGGCATGGAAAAAGGGGTGAATTAGAAGATTAGTTTCACTATGGATCAGTTTCACCATTGGATGAGCTTCACCATGGGAAGATATTGGATGCCATCGAAGTAGAACAACAAGAACAAAAACTGCAAATGGGCTTGATTAGCAGGGAAATTTAGGCTTTAGTTTATATAGTTTAGTATTGGGGGCTCGAGATGGGCTTGATTCATAATGGTTCCTTAATTCTATGTGCGCATTGTAAACATGTCAACGAGGGGAATGCTTTCATGTCAGGGCACCAAAGAACAGTGAGCAAAAGTCGAACTTTCGATCTGTCGGAAACTAGATCACCAACCCAATGGTATCTTCTGCGATGTCCAAGGAGAAAACACACATATAGAAAATCATAGAAACATCCCCCAAAACTGCTAGGACCCTCCATGGAAGATGAACCTTCTCCCTCCATAGCAGAGCTCTTGAACCTGAAAAAAAAATAACATGAACAACCATCTAAACCCCTTGGTTTCGGGTCTTCATCATCTAAATGAACCGACCCCTCTCCACCGGGCTGAATCGGCCCGTTCCAAGGGGCTAGCAGTGCTCACTCTGGAGAAGAGGAGCCCCCCGGCGGTGGCACCCATGAGGACTGCAATCCAAAACTCTGCGATGACCAAGGCGTTGGTAAAGGCCGTGTTGGGTACCACAGTGCCGAAACCAATGGTAGACATACCTGGACCAATGGACATACATGCACTGCGACATGCACTCCTACTATGGGATTGAATAAGGAGACCTCCGGAGGCAACGACCCCCGGGAAGAAGGAACATAAACCAAAATCCATTGGTTGGGTTCCACATGGATGGTCAGAACTCCCTGAAGAGGTGTCTGCTAGGTGTTGACAGCCTTTGTGAGGATCTTAATTCTTAACGTGTTGCTTCTCCATTTGCCATGGTCCGGTTTGGGCAGGTGCAACAACCAAACCACGACACCATGGAACTTCCTTTTGTCATCAACCCAAAAGGTCCCGTGGGGAAAGGGGAACAAAGCTCCTGGGTCGAAGAAGAAGCCACCACCTGTTCGAGGAAAACTAGAGTTGCCACAAGTAAGTTGTATCATGTCGTAGTATGTGTCTATTTTTTCCACGGAACAGGAATTATTAAACATCCCAGAAAACTGTGGCACACCATTAACCATCCTCAGGGGCCATGGGTGTATTCCAAAGCCCAAATTCAATCCGGACTGCAATGGGTGGACAAGTTGAGTCCGTCCCAGAAAGTGCATGGTTCGTCCTTGACCAAGCAAAGTATGCCATCCTCCTGCACGTAGAAGAAGAGCATTCCAAAGATGAAAATCACTGACAAATACCTCCAATTGATTCAAGGCAGCACAAGACAAGCTTAAAACGTCACTTTCAGTCTTTCAGTCAGAAATGTTCAATCAACCAACGTCTTGCACTCTCAAGAATCATTATTGTGCCCATCTTCTCCGACCAGAAACATGCAATTCAAACAAACTGACAAATTCTGTACGCCGTCACTCCTTTTGCACCAAAAACTGCGGCCAAGCAACGTCGAGAGCAAACCTGTTCAGCGGAGTTCTGTGGAGATGTGCGGAAACCAAGCCCTAAACTCTGTCAAAGGAAGCACTCCCCCAAAAGTGGACGGGAGTCAGCTCTTCCAATCGAGTATTTAGTTAAGTTCCATTAAATATGCTTCTTTTTCATGCTGTGGAGTGATCTTCGTCGCGCGTGGCGCGCGGAACAAAAGACGATAAGGCCCAAGCAAAACATAAATTTGCTCCATGTGGTCCGGAGCAAAAAGAAGGCGCAATCACCGATCACCTGGGCACGAAGGTCAAACGACGAGACGCTTTCGACGCGATACATCGTCTCGACCTTCACGTTTGTGGACATGGAATCGAGGCGATACGGGGTGTACGGAGCAGTTGGACGAATGAGGATCCTTTGAACTTCTCATGTTCACCTTAACCCCGTCTGGCAGGTGGGGGGCCAAGTGCCTGGGGCGTAAGCACCGGTTGCTAGGTACAGCTCAAACAACAACCATGACGACGACGACAACAACAACAACAACAACGACAACAACATGTTCACCTCAATTAAAGTCCTGCCATGGGATCACCCCACCAAAAAACGCCCCGCGGGCCACCGAAGCGGGGCGACGCCCCCCAAAAAACGGGTCCGCCTGCGTCCTGGAGCCTTTGACGACGACATCCACCCTGCCACTGAGGTCATACTGCACTGGGAAGTCCGTTCGGCCTCGTCCTGGCCGTTCGACGTTCCCCTCCCCGAAACACAGGCGCCGCTTGGCGCCCCGAGCTAAAGGGGCACGGAGGAGGCAGGGAAGAGGCATGAAGGTAGTGCAAAAGGCATTTGATCAGCAGTCTAGTTGTGATTTCCCAGACCATCCATGTATGGAATAGTTACGTTAGGATCATAAATGCAGGCTTAAGTATGTAAGCATTCCAATTCCATACACGGATGGTCTGGGGCTGGAGTTCATCATTCCCTCGCCCACATGATATCACATGATACCACTTGACAAAAGCTCTATTTTCCGGGATCTCATCATGCTTCCTTGATCTGACTGTCTCCTTTCAAACAGGTTGTCTGGACACTGGGACTGCTGATCTGATCACAACATGAACCAAGAAACATCCAAACATTGCTCTTTATGCCGTGATGCTGGGGTATAATATGACGTTTTAGGGCACGATGAACCTCAAACCAAGTGAATCCTGTCGAGATTTCATGATGGAACTTGCCGGGGTTTGACGACACTTGCATCACATCTTTCCAGCCACAATAACTGGTCTTTCATGAGGGAGATATTTGACTGCAACACAGGAGCAAAAATGGGCAAACGCGTGGCAAAAGCTTAATCTTATGGCTGGGCTTCCTTGTCCATTGACCAATCAATATATTCATGTCCTTTCCCTGAAAAGGAATAGCGTGGTGTCGCTGATTCGGCTACCTTGGCTTGTCCCTGCCTCCTTCTTTCAGCTTCACAAGTTGAGTTGCTTCCAAGCAGTGTACGCTGGTTTTGATAAACATGGAACAATCACCCAACTACTCACTGCAAAGGATCTCTACCCAACGGTCCATCCCTCGGACCCCCCTCCTAGGGCCGGTCTGCCGAATCCATACCATGGCATCACCCTTCGCCACAAGGGTCACAAGCTTCGCTAGGCATCTTGAGCCAAAACTCCGAGTTTTGCTGTGAGAGACCGTGACAGGTGACCCTGGCACCCGCAGGGGAAGTGTCCAGTTTGACACGCAAAACAACACAAAGGTTCACAGAACATCTAAATAATCCAGCACATCTAATTGCATGTAGTTACCCCTTCCAAATTTCCGCAAGCAGGAAAAAACACCAAACAAAACATGTCTGGAACTAGTTCTAGTCTCTGATCAAGTGCCAATCTGTGTGACAATTGACAGATTTGTGAACCTTGTGGCATCCAATGACTACGAAGCTGCCAAATGCCGAATGCCGCATTTGGTTTAACATCCATACCCAAACCATCCTAAACCATCCATATATATGGAATAGTTACTTGCAATGGGTCATAAATGGGGTAGATGTGTCCCATGGATGGTCTGATGGTCTAAGATATTACTAGTATGGACGCGTGTCACACCCCGGTAACCTCGGTTGACCCCTGAAAACGACCAGATTCCGTTGTTTGTCGGAATGTCAAGGTCTAATGATGATGATTTTCTCATTTCAATGGATTCATCATGATCCACCTATGGTCTAATGCATATTTTACACACATTGGATCGCCTTGTTCTTTCCATTTCCAGCACCCCAACGTACTTCCAAAGTACTGCCACGTCCTTGACTTCCTTGGTGTCTGGGATCATGTCTCGTGCATCCATCACCACGCTTCTCCGAGGCTTCCGGGCTGGGCGTCCGAGGAGGGTTCAGCTCTCCAGGGCGTCCACCTCACCGCTGTGATGCTGTGAGGCGGCCGGATCACGGCTGATCTGCCGACCATGAAAGTCATCAGCTGTGCCTCCAAAAAGACACATGTTCTTCCGTGGAGTTTACATGGTACATATAGAAATGGTTTTGGAAGCTAGGCAAGCTACGAATCACCTGGGTCACCTGGAATGCCAATTGACTAGAGATCTTGATTCCTTCTGTGCAAGCCTTGATCCATGGAAACGGAGAGAAATCCGTTGCCTGGAACCCCACCAATGCTTCACCTGTGAGGTGAGTAGCCCTGAACCTACCCAGCTTTTGTCCACTAACTTGGTATTGTTCCTGCCCCGCTGAGGCATGGCCCCTCTTCATATAAAACGTTTTAACAAAATGCAATGCTTCAAGTCACCTTTAAAAAAACTATATTGTTTAAATTAAACGTACTTTGTTTGGGCCAGCAACTGCGCAGGTGGTAGGAGGACCTCAAGAAACATACTGGGTTTCTACCTCAGCTGGTGATCATTGCCTTGCTTCAGGGAACTCTTGGTGTCTTTCAAGGTTCGCCAGCGGCGCAAGATCCCCAACATGTGCGCAGTCCTGAAGTTTCTTCACTTCCTCTTCTGGGATTTCCTGATCGCCCACGTCCTTTGGCAGGGTGCAGAGAGTGGCTGGTCATCTCCAAACCTTCCAAGCTTTACCGGCGGCACAAACACGTTGGCGGACCCCCAATGGACGCGAACTGGCCCAAAAGATCCCAGACCATCCAAATATGGAAACGTTACTTTGCAGATCTTTGCAGTATAAATAGGGTAAATGATGGTAAATGTATGTAACTATTGAAGCTCCAATGGATGGTCTGGGGATAGTCGTTGTTGGGCTGATCCCATGATCCAAGGTGGTGCAAATGGCGTGCCAATACTACTCAACATGCAGTAATAATTCTAGATACATCTATATACTGACTATCAGGATGGTCGTTGAGGTGCATCTCGACGTCTTCAGCACAATCTAATTGGATTCATAGGTAGGAGACTATCTATTGGAATCTACTGGAATCATTCAACATGACTCATGACCCCAAAGCTATAAAACAAACACTGAACAAATCACATACAGTAGTTGGACTGTCACTCCACGCCACAACTGATGCAGTCCTGAAGATTCATTACTTCCTCCCCTGGGATCGTCTTGTCGCTTTGATCTGCCTGAAAGGGCAGCGTGAAAAGGCAAACTGGGCAGAATTCTCTCCCCCCCAAACTCAAAGCACTCCATCCTGGCTCCATCCACCTGTCCAGGCTGGTCCAGGTCTCGTGCAAGGGACGTATTGACCCACTGACAATCAAAGAATTCGCCAGCTTCAGGCTTCAGCTGGAATTGAATCCTTGGGTTTCTTCATGGTCAAGACCTCGCACCACAGTCCCACGTCTTTCCCCATGGTCAAGCCAGTCGATGGGTTCCAACGGGGCGACCTCGACTTCAGGAATGACTTGGATTTCAATCTCCTGACCTCAGAGCGTCCATCTCGAAGGCTGGGAGCTGACCGGGGACGTGTTTGGGGCCGCAGCGGGGTGCCTGAGAGCATCTAAGTCTAAGAGACTTAGGACATCTCACAACCTCAGGTCATTGACATCCCTATTAGCATCTACTAGCATCATATTTCAGGCACTTGGGGTCTGAGAAGCTACAGGGACAGATCAAGTCTACACCTTGTCTACACCACAAAGCCCCATCTGTCAATGAGACGGATGTTTCATGAGTTTCCCCATCTTTTGACATCGCCCATACTATTCTCCCACATCCCCACTTGGGAGGCTCGGAAGCACCAGACACGTTTCTGGGGGGCTTCGTACGGAGGGTGCCCAAGATGTGCCAAGCTGTTTGACATGGCCATACTGCACGCATGGTGGATACTCAGGGTACCTCCCAGTTGCCTTCGTGGAACATCCAGAAACCAACGTCCGCTTCTTGGCAGAAAAGGGAACCAAAACTCGTCTGTTCCTCTTCTTCCCCACACCATCATCTGGTCTCCCTCTGTTTGGTCTTCGGACTTCACGAGTCGGAATGTTGACGCTTGATGACCATTTCCCCTTTGGGCCTCCATATATTGACATTGGTCGGAGGGCTAATCCAGGAGACTCCTCGTAGTTCTTGCACCGAGGATGAAACGGGTGTCTCACAAGCAAGCTGTGCTCGGGCACCAAACTGCGCGCATCAGCACCGCAGCAAAAGCAGGCCTGGGCCAAATGGGAAGTTGCACAAGGTGTATCTATCTTCCAAAGAGGAATAGCCGATCACCCATGCTCCCACCGCGAGATGCTAAACATTGTTTAACAAGATCTTACTTAAGCTGCAAAACTTCAATTCCGACCGCTCATCCACCCCTGGATATCTGATCATTCCCCACTCTACCATGTGAAACATCCATGTTCCTATATGTTCCTTGTTTTGTTTTTTGGGTCTGTCCGAGGCTTCCAGTCATATCTCCACTCAGTGAGCCCCAAACCCACCGAGCTCGACCCCCTCGACCCGGGTCATAGGACCGGCCCCCGGTACCTCGCGTTCGATGGATGGATCCAAGGAGAGCGTCACATCCGGAAGATCTCGACACGTCTTTTGCTAGACCATCCATGAAACTGGAATAGTTAATCATCATGATTATACATTTGCTACCCCATGTGATATGACCCTAATGTAGGTATAACTACATGGTACAACTATTCTAGTCCCATGGATGGTTCAGGTTTTCAGGAGAGGTTCCTCCATGAGGATCACCGGAATTGACTCATTCATCCCTCCAAACAACCCCGTGCTACCGCGACTTCCGCCATGCTGCGAGCAGGCTCCAGCCAGAGCTGCTACCTGAAAGCACAGCGGCTAATGTTTCAGACAGATCTTTCACATTCATGATCATTTATGAAACAAATATCTATAAGTTTGCTTTAGCAATGAGGCGTTGTGGCAAGCAAACTTCACTGTTGATCTCTTGTGCCTCTCCAATCAACTATAAGACATCCCCACCCTTCGACTGAGTGGATCCACTTCACCTTCAAACAGCAAACCGTCCTTTTGAGCAGAACAAACGCGGCCCCACTAGCCTGGGTCCACTGCAGCTGCTTTTGTAGTCCTTGCTGCAGCGAGTTTGGCCTGGAAGATGTTGCTGCGAGGGCAAGCAGCTAAGTGTTGATCACCTGGCGGCAACCGGAAAGTGGGAAATCTGGACACACCGCACCGAACGCCGGCCTAAGCCTGATGCACAAAACGCACAGCATGAGTCAATCTCAAAAAGAACTGCATGCCACAAGAATTGTAGAATTCAGTACAGATGCGTGGTGTCACCTGCAAAAAAAAATCGTAGCTCAGCAAATCCACGTCTCAGCGACACATCGCACCTATTCCAGCAACCATCTCTGCAGAACCTCTGAAGCCGCAATACTTGCAGACCTCAAATCTTCAAGCAAACACCCATCCGAACAGCCTCTGATGACACTCACACCCATCCAAACCACGTAAGAAACATACCGTATATACTGGTTGTGAGACCAAACACAAAACAGCCACTAAACAGATTGATGGCGCAACACCCCAAAGCGGTTTTGGCAGGTTGCCATAATTGAAAGATGTCATGGTAGTCTTGGCTGGTATAAAGTTGTTTGTTTTTTTAAAAAATGTTGTGGGACGTTGTCACAAGTGGCATGTTGATGCCGATGAGTGTCCCTTTTGATGAGTACCCATGCTTTCATCATGAGCAAAAACGAACAAAACAAACTCTTGGCCGGCCATGTGCCATCATCAACGAGCATAAACAAACAAAACAAACTCTTGGCCCGCCAGGTGCCATCATCTAAAGAACAACTGTAGATGGCCAAATTCGTGTGATCATCTGTAGATTCTCCCATCTTCTTCACCATCATTATTGCGTTTCAAGAGCTCCTCATCCCGCCCAGCGGCCATGACCTTGGGCGAATCCGCGGAGCCGCCGCCCCACCTGGACAAGGTCGGGACGAGGTCCGATGAACCGGCGGTTGGCGGTCCCGCCAAGCATCTGCCAGGTGTGGGACGGAAGGGGGATGATGAGCACAATATAGGTAAGAATCTCAGTACAGTATATCTATATATATTATTTTAACTGGGTTGATCTGCACCACCCGCTATAGCTAGTAGTAAGGGACCCTTGCTAAAGATGCAAGTAAGTGAAACATGTTTGTTGGATAAGACAAACTTTACTATTGCTTCCTATAGTTCCCAAGATCATGGGAAGATGGGAGCACACTGAGTCAGAGACTTCCATAATCTTCCATATGGTTCAACCCTGTAAATGAAGGAAAAAACATGAACCAAGTATATACTGTCGGTGGATTTGCTGTATCTCGGAGTTGTTGCTCGTTTCTCAGCTGAGCACATCAAAACACGATGCACTCCCAGCCTTTGGCAATAGCGCGCATGTTGAGGGCCTTTGGCTTTGACCATCGAGACCTCTCCCAAGAAACCACAGAACTTGCATTCGCCAACCTTAGGCCGATGACACTGAGGGAAGACTCTGCACAAAGCAGGGCATTGGTTTTACATGGTTCTACATGGCTTCACTGTGATTTACCTGCGTGTCAAATCAGTGAGTCTGCATGTTCTCTTGGGAAGGACCAGAATCCCAACCCTGCCATAGCAGCATACCGTAACCACCCTGACTTCCCTTGTTTCAAGGAGGTCTTGGTTCTGTCTTGTAAAAGGTCTTGACAAAGGAGGTTTTGACAACAAACAAGAAACTTGTCGAAAGCTTCTGGTTTCCACATGTGTCATGGGACGTGCGGGATGTAACGTACGAGGTCTGACGTAAGATCATGCCATTCCGAAACAAGGAAGACTGGCTGAAGCAAGCAGAATGGGGGCCTTGAGGGACCCGAAGCTGAGGAAACATGCTGCCACAAAAATATACATCCCTCGACTATCCACAGAGTTCCAAATTGTCCTTTAAATTGTCGCAAACACTCCACACAACGCTCCACAAAACATCGCACCTTTCTCGCAAAAGTCTTTCTTCATTGCCAACCAGGAACATCCGTGGAGGAGTACCGCGGACAGCTCCAGCCATGATGACGGCCGCTGGTCATGATCCATGCAGGTCCTCTGGATATTCGGCAGTCTAATCAGCAATCTGCACGACAAACAACACTGGTCATGAGCTTAAACCAAAAGCCGCACATGAACAAGTGACAGAACACTCTGTTTGGTCGTTACCCAAGACAGCATAGCCAGCCAATGTGTTCCCCAAGCCTAGGCTGGTTTACTACAATATCAATATCTGTCAACAATGGCCAAACATTCACTTGATAATCAGGGCCAGGTTGTCAAACGCGGTGACCCACCCTGGCCACAAAAAAATGCCTGACCTGGCCCGGCATCACAATCATCAGTATTATGATCAATACTATTGTCGTCATCATCATCATTATCATCACCAGCAGTCTGTTATATTCTGTCGACTGTCTTCAACAAGCCAGCTGCCCGCCGGACACGCTTGACATGCTCAGGCTCATCCAGTCCTCCTCCAACTCCGCAGGATTTGCAATGCACAAGCCTCAGTGGAACACACCACCGTCCCATCAACATAAGGCGCAAATTGAACATGACAGATGCACAGCCAAAGCTGCCAGTAATAGCAATATCTGAAACATCCATGGATTGCGCAGGATTTCTCGAACATGTCATATAAGGTGAAATCATGTGACATGAAAGCAATACGGGTCGAGTGGGGCCGCGGCAGAAAAGGTCGAAACAGTGGGCCTGAGCTAGGCGATGCATGCAAGCGGAGCTCAGCTTCGAGCTTCCCCGAAGTAGATAGATAGTTTCTCAAGAGTTTTGCCCAAGACATGTTCCATGTTTGAATCCCCTGGGTTTATGGTCCCTCGAAGAAAGGATTTGCATGGTTTTTAGACAAAGGATTGTCATGGACAAAGAGGGCATTTTATTGCCACAGGAACTGATTGGTCTCTTTTTTGCTGTGTGTCAACTGCCCAACAAAGTGATGCATGATTGCGGTTGAAGCTGTAGTGTGTTCCCCTAGAAACACGCCTACCTCCAAGCAAAATGGTACACTCCACACTTGCAAAAAGCATGTCTGAGTCATCTGTGGAAAGTGAATTTGAATGTGACTCAAAAAATCACCGACCATGGGGTTCCCAAATGTTCGAGGACAACCGTGACGCATCACCTTGAATGCCAGAAAGGTGCAATTGCGCTGGTGATGATTGCCCTCTTCCTGTATTCTGTCCTGGCCGAACACGTTTCCCTGGATCGAAACGATCAACTTCATGGAACCCGCAATAAAACAAGGCATGCAGCTGGAAGAACAAGGAACATCTTATAGGGAACAGTAAAATGGCCTCCGTTCTCCTACACCGCCTTTTCATGCCTTTTCTAAGCATACGAAAACTTCGACAGTGGCAGCCTTTGTGGTCAGTTAGCAGGAGCTTTGCTGAACATGCAGTCTCGGTTTGTCGAAGCAAATGAGGAGAGAGGCAACCAATGCCTTTCTATATAAGAGGCATTTGACATAGGCAAGGAGCACACGCCTTACCTGTGAGATTCTCTCATAGAAAATGCCTTAGGTAACATCAGGGGCGATTTACTACAGTTGCAGGAGAAGGAGATAGGGTGCGTCATGGTACGTCTAAAAAAGGTTCACGAGAAACAAACTTGTCGGCAGAATCAATTCATCTCTGGCCATAATATATAGTCAACTGCCTTGGAACCTATCTACAGTACACTCCCCCAAACACCCTTCTTCTCAACCTGGCAGGAGCAAACCGATGGGAGCTTTCCCGAAAAGCAACGGCTCGCCCAAGTCTGACGTCTCCTCTCGCCCCTGTGCGTTGCACTTGGTGCATTTGGCCTCAAATGCAATTGCATTGGTGCAGAAAAAAGCTTACAAATTAGAACATGGATATGTCATATACACCACGAATAAACGTAGCAGTCACTTGATAGCAAATTATCTCTTCAAAAGTATGTCTCCCACTGAAGGATGTCATGGTGTCGTCATGGTTGAAACATCTTAATATTAAATGGTGAAAGGTATCATTCCTCCTCTTATGAGACAAGGAATTCAACTGGGATTTCAAGCAAAATTAGTGTTTTCTCACTGCGACACACCAATGCCCCTTGGGACGCAGTCTCAACTTTTGGGGTCTACAATCCAAAACAACGAACTTGAAGAACAGAGTGCAATATTAATGTATGAAGGAAGAGATGCGAAGAGCATGCATCCTTTGCTCAAATATATAGTGTTCGTTGTCGAAGTTTACAAGTTTATGCTGTCTCATTGGAAAGTACTTGCTGGTGAGTATGATAATGTAATCAACAACCGAATATGTCTGCCACTTGCAGGTTCTACAACGTCATATCACCCTTGAGCCCCTGGCTATCTTTGCCATCGCGCAGCCCGAGTGACAGAACTGATCTGCTTGGATTAATCCACCGTCAGGGTATTTCTCAAGGGCTGAAGCCACGATGCGGACCTGTGGGACTATAGAAATACCGATCATCCCGGACATCCACTGTGTTTCAGACTGACTCAGGTGGCTTTTGTTACAGGGTCACACCTGGATGCAGGTGTGGGAAGAGCAAACTGAATGAGCAAGTATCCGTCTAAATCCTTCTAACAACTTTGTACAGTATCCTTCTTCAGTCTTCTTTGTGTTCAAATCTGTTCTCAGATGACTAAATGGGCCATCTCCTGCGGCGATCGAACATGCGCACACCTACACCCGGGTGTTGCTCCTTTCTTTTGAAATACAGTATTGTCGTTCCCATGGTGAGGCGTTTCCAGGAATCCATCTATTTTAAAGAGTCAATCCAACTCGGCGTTTCTATCTATTCCTTTTGATTGCATATCACTGTAGTCTCAAAAGTCAAAGTGAAACTCTTCTAGTATTACCAAACGACACGGGAGCTCCCCTGTACTGATCCTGCCAAACATATTTCTACACCAAATCCAGCACCTGCAATCCACAGGCCCAGCAAGCAACATTTAAACAACAATTGATTAAGAATAAGAACAAGGCATTGATTCTGGGTCTTGAGCAGTATCAGTATGAGTATGATCACATAGTCTGTCATCTACCCCGTTCGCTCACACTTTTCTCCACCGGGAATGCAACGAAGACCGCCGAAAACTGCAGTCCTGTTCGGGCCACGGGTGGTTTGGAGGCAGCAGATTCTGGATGTCTTTGTTTTGTCTGGTGCAGCCAATTCTCGGAACGCCTTGGACAGTTCTGGGCCCATGGGCGAACACCCCTCTTAACGAAAGTCCTATATATAGCTAATATAACAGTTTTATAGCTCAGCTTTGATGCCGGAGTCTTGTATTTCAACACTACCCATCACGCCAGTACACACCAGTACAAAGAGTACACTAATTATCTCCAGTTGGATTCTGCCAGGACTAGTAGTATCCGTAGTATCAGTGGATCTCTGTCTCCAGTTGAACACACCCAGTCTTACCAGCCCTGGCCGTCGCATGGCGGCGCGCCTCGTCTCGCTCTCCTCGCGCCTCGCACCACGCGCCGTTTCAGCCGGTCGATGTGGAGCCCGAGGCCTGGAGGGGCCGCCGTGGTCGGAGTCCCTTGAAAACGGTGATCCTTTGTTGGAATCAAAGGGGGTTCCTGCAAAAAGATATAGAGTGCAGAGTGATGGCATAATTTTACCATGCACTACCAGTTAAGTTTATATATAATATTGCTTGACTCAAAGTAGATTTTGCATTGCAAGGTCTCCTAGTTGGTAAATGCACATGATGAAGTTGGTGAAAAAAGTAAGGATGGAGGCTTCTTGATTGATTCCCACATAGTACCAGTACTCGTCTCTAAGGAAAAAAGGCTTGGCATCGAGATTGGCCTAGCGGCAGCATCCGGGGACAACAAGCGGAATGGACATCCAATCTCATAGAAGCGTAGCTTCAAGTTGAAGAATCTGGTGAACAGTTGCCACGTTGTGTTTGTCTCAAAGAAGGGGAACCTCGGTGACCGACCGCATAAGGAACCCATGGTGTAAGTCTTTGGAGGTATGCCCAAACTTGGCCCAGGAACCAACTCTGCATCATACCTGATACAGTATCTGCTTTGAAAACGCTGTGGCTTCGCGTACAGCCAAAGGAACTCTCATTTCCATTGCTACGGCAAAAGCACATATGGTCTGCAGTGTCTAGGCCATCAACAGTTGCACTGGCTTCAAGCATGGAAAGCATGCATTAATATCATGTTTTTTAGTGTTCCCCATTTGCATACATGGCCGGCACTCAAGTCTCTTGGATTGCCCCAGTGGAGCCTTCTGAGGTCATTCGTGGGATCAATGTGAGAACACGGACCTTTGCAAGGCTCAAAAGTCTTTACACATGTTCCATATCTGTGTGGACCAGTCAGTTGCAGTACAAACCCGGTCGGCTCATCAGTCTGCTCCCCCGTCGTGGCTCGAGCCTCGTCTCTCGCTCCCCAAATGTAGAAATGACCTCGACTCGAGTCTCGCCAAGTAGCGGTGGTGTTTGTTTGCTCTTGCATGTGGACAGCACGTTGTGAGTTTGACACTTGCGGGATTGGGTCCCCCTTGGAATGAACATATTTTCCGGCCTTTTGGGGGGGCTGTGCAGTTTGCCGTGCATTGAGGCCAACATCTAAAGAAACCAATCAAATTGGAGAAGCTGAATCTCAAAGCTGGTCGCCATGGAAAAAAAGAGCATGTCTCACTCTCTCAGTTCCTTATATTAATACCGTATACCCTTTACTACTCAGCCACCTTCGGGCCGGTTTAACGGTTAGCCATCCCTGATCGATGGGTGGCAATGAGTGTAACTACCTGTACCGCAGTGTGGTGGGTACAAACCAAGTAGCACCGCAAAAGAATCGCACGACAAAGACACACCAAAACCGCTACCCGTCAGCTCAAGTCAGTAAGAAATGTTGAACAGTCTCTTGCGAGGCTTCTTCTCTCGTTCTGCAAAAGAAAAACTGTTGCTGACTGAGCACATCTGCGCACCGTGCCCGGTGTTTCAGGGGTCTCTTCAATTCAAGCTTTGTTTGGAACTTCAAAATACGAGTAGCATGTAGGAAGATTACAACAGAATTTGTCCACCTTTCTTCTCCCAGGCGGTGTCTGTCTTTCTTAGCCGCTCCAAGGTGCCGTTGCGATGGATGGAGAAGGCTTGGTGAAGGTCCTGAAAGCTCTTCCCATCGAGCAAAGAAGCTTCGAACACCCCGAACGCCAGGGGGAATCCCGGTGGATGCTGCCGGGGTTCGCAGCGACTTGGGAAGATCCCTGTGGGTCCCAGTGGGGCTCCTCGGTGGGTCCGGGTCTGATTTTCATCAGGTTCATGCATGTTTCGATTTCTGACATGGGATGAATGAATGAATTGTGGAAGACATGGATCTGCACCACTCGGCGCCTCTTGTTCAAACCGGTAGCATCATATGTGAAGGCATCATGCTGGATGGTCGAGTCCATGTATCCCTGGAGTCACACAGAACAGTCCGGAAGGGTGGACGAGTGGAGTGTAGAGTGGAGTGTGAAGGCGTGGCTTCAGAAGCGTCACCGCTAAAAGGAACGATAAAAATGGCACGAAACCATTGGACAGTCATGTTTATAGTCACGATGAACTGGAACCTGGCACCTGAACATTTCCTGGTCTAGCAATCCAAGTCATGAGCCTCCGAAGGTTGAACCTTGTTTTACTCTTCAGAAACGTTCATTATTAGTAATATCTGTTTCAATATATACTATATGGAATCTAACTAAGTGACTCACACTGCCCTCTTCCAAGATTTCCTCTGACTTCATCCACTGAGCACCCGGTCCCAAGAAATGCCCACAGTCGGCTGGAGGTCGTGGTTGTAAACCTCACGTGGAGCCAGTCTGGAGCAAGCACAATGCGCATCATCCAGCCCTTTCTAGCAAACACAATTCTCGCCCTTTGTGGCAAACCTTTGAGCCTCAAATGCTTTGAGAGATTGGGACGCTCCAAGTTGCAATCCCATTTGCCGGTTGCATTTGCAGCGGATTCAGATGGATTACGTATCAATGGGTCGTCCAAGCTGGTGCAACATGTCCAACGAGAGTAATTAATTAAGCCAAGCGTCGTTTTCCTCTTGGCTCAACACCCAACCGCCAAACCCAACAATTATCCTCTTGTTCTGTACCCTGTGGGAATCTGGCTACCTTCTCACCACACACCGGCAGTGTCTCTGCTCATCAGTCGATCTGAGCTCCTCGCCAGCTGCCCGTCCCGTGTCCAGCAATGGACGCAAGCCGCTCCTCGAGCCTCACGGGTGACCACTTGGGTGCCCTGATGGGACAGCCTTGAAGAGATACCAGTCATTAAGATGACCATGGAACACCCACCATCCAAGGGCCTCTGGTGTTTCTCAACTGTGAGTTGTTGCAGTAGGTAGGTGTTTCTTAGAAACATCTGATGCAGACTGATACACGATTCATCTTGTTGTATTGTGATATGAAAGCAACATAATCCTGCGATTGTTGTTCCATATCCAACCTCCTTCACTTCCTCTAAACCGTCCTGAGAATACAACAAATGGCCACGATCCACTCTGAACCACCAACCTCACTGCCTTCGGATTCCAACACCCTATATGATTCCAACAAACCGAGTCGCCAAGATGTGGCTTCCATCGGGCGAAAAGGCCGGAGGCGATGGACCTCCGTCGCTGGTGGTCGCTGTGGAGGTCGTGCGGGGAGGGTGATGATCGCAAGTGATTGTGCAGTTTCAAAAAGGACCAAACGCACGAAAATTGCCAAACCGTCCTTAAAAACATTTAAACACATACGAAACAGGCGGGGATCAACTGGTGCTAGGTGGTTGGACAAGGGAATGCGGAAACGATTGGTGGGAATTCGACCGAAACATATCGAAAACTATATATAGACTATAGATCAATGTCCAGGTTCCCGAAAACCCTCAAAGATCAACCGCATCCGATCTTCCCTAGTGAGGCCAAATGACACCAGCATGTCGGGGCTGATAGTGACACTCCTATAGCGGTGGTGACACTCAAAAGAATACCAGTATCATGTCATGTTGTCTTTCTTCATCTGCCAGGTATGTTTGAGCAAACTTTGCATACATACGTTGGATTGTATATTGTATACCATCTGAATCTGGGTTCCAAAATGCCTGACCCTCGAGGCTTGCATGATCTACATGTGTACTGCTTTGGAACACAGGCTGCCTGCTAATGTAGAAAATTGATCCTTGGGAACTCCACCGAATCTCGTGGCTACTGGCTTCACCTGCGGAAGAGTGCTTTCTGAACTTGATCAGCCGTGGCTAGGAAGGCCCACTAGGGCACAAGTAAGATAAGTAAGTTGATCTCAGGTGTTGAACATGGCTGGAAATTCTTGCATGTTCCATGACTTAGGATGCGTCTCCAAGGCCGGAGATTCCCAAACACGCCCATGGTACAAGATGGTGCAAGAAGAGTAAATAGATGAAGAGTCAGGGGTATGGGTTCCCATTCAATTGACACTGAACACCGATTATAGATATCGACTGGACCTGTGATTCTGTCTCCACTCTGGGTCACCGCTGCCGCTATCCAAAGCCCCTGAAGCCTGAGGACTGACCCGAACAAATTTCGATTCACAAAAGAACGGGCGCATGATGTGTTTGAGAAACAGGAACCCGGGTGCCAATCAGGTTCTTTAGAAAGTGACTATGCACTCCGCAGTAGTCCTATTCTTACATGTTATCATATGTTCTCAATAGTTCCTCAACATCTCCAAATGAGCTTGTCATCTTGGAGCCTCAGCCCCGTTTTATCCCCTTTCGAAGCCACAAAGCCATCAAGAACCACCTTCTTATAACTGATCAGGCCTCTCTCGCACTACAATCTACATAGGGAAGACAAACTTGGAAAAGCTGATGCGAATGGCTTTACCGAGGCGAGACGGGTAGATCGATGAGGGCATTCTCGCCTGCAGTCGTAGAGTGGGCTCTGGACATCCCAAGGCAGTGCAGCAAAGGGAGCCGTCCTGGCTGTTGATGGAAGAGTTCCACATGAACAGCACACATCCTCAGAGTCGAATGACAGAGTTTCAATCTCTTTCAACAGGATACTGGACATTGCAGGATTCTCTTTGGAATAGATATGCACCGGTGGGGATACTTCAGCAAATATCCATTGACAATTTAGCTCAGTGTGACTTGATGCTCAATGTGAGCAAAAACTTAGGGCTTGGTTAGACATTCAACAAACACCTACCAGAACAATGTATCATTTTGATGCACCTGAACACCTCTGAACATTGCTCGCCTCAACACCTCAGTCATCCAACATCTCTATTATGAAGAACTTGAACACTTCCATCAACTCCACTCGCCCCTTGCGCCTGCGCTTGGCTCAAGACCCAGTTGCCATCTTGCGAGAGCTGCACACCCACCACTGCCTGATATGGTCGGCGCTCATCAGGCACACGAAGGAGAGATGAATTCCCGGTGCAACAGCTCCACAATTCACCAATTTTGAAGACACTAAATGATGTTCAACCTTATTAAGGCTCCACACACATACATGACCTTGGGAGAAGGCTGAGTTAGTGCTTATATAGTGCTTCTTTGGGTCGAGAAATGCCTGAAGGATCAAAGGACCCTCAACAGGTGTCGTTGCGACCGCTGCACGACGGCGAAACGGCCTGCGCCGACTGGTGCAGCCGCACCGCATCTGCGGGAGGCCCTGGCACTCGCTGGTCTAAGACCTGACTGGCGAGTGACCAGCAGGGTGGCTGAGGAATGGATATGTTAACGTCTACTAAATTGAAGATTCCTAGAATCGGATTGAGCGACAAAACACATCATTTCCTCATTCCCACATGATTAGCAGCTGGACGAGCCTGTTGGTCGGGTGTCAAAGGTTGGAAGATGCCAAAACACAATGCTAGGTGCAAGCTCTTGAACATGAACCACAGCGCAGCGGAGCCATCCGAATCTGACGACTGCTGGACAACGTTACCAGTCACAAAACAAATGTCCTATATAGATAACCATTCCAAAACAACCAGGAATGGACGCCGAAACCTCCTGAGATCCCCCGACGGAAAGCCGTCCATCGGCCTAGCGACGGAGGGTCTCCGATGTCGGGGCCATGTGTGGTGAGGCAGATCGTGAGCCATTGTGGATGATCAATATGCTAGCACCTGACTCTGCAGCGCTCCTCTGGAGGCTTTTGGAGACTGAATAAGTCGTAGGTGGTGACCTGTTGGAGGGTTCTGGTAGGGGATGTGGGTCGATGTTGACATGCCGCCGAGCAGCATAGCCAGCCACCACCACGCCAGATGAGCGATGAGCTCTTGCCGTCGTCACGGGTGCGGGACATGGCATCGACCTGGACGCTCTCAAGGAATGGTCCCAAAGTCGATTTTCCAATCGACGAGGATTGGTCAAATCGTGGATCATATTGACATATTGGAGGCTGTCAGATCCATACAACAACGTTCAATACTATTGATTCATGTACAGTAACAAAACAGTCTTTTCAGTGTCATCCACTGGGTCCAAGTTCAACAGCAGGGGTTCGGCCCTTAAAACAGTTTGATTTGTCTGATGATCTTGTGACATGCTTCATGATGCTCCCCAGTTCGCAAAAAAACACAATCCGCCTCACCATCTGCCCAGTCTGCACATCCCAAAGCTTCACTGTCCTGGTTGCAGAGTTGAGCAAGTCACGAAAAATGTCTGATGCAACATGACATGCCGATTCACTGCCAAATACAAATTCTTCTATGCCCATGCCCCATGCCTGACAGTGCATCTTGACCAAACAGTGGCTTTTCTTAACAACAATATGGATCTTTCTTCTTGCCAACAAGAGAAATGGACCAAAAACGGACCATGACACAAGTGGTTTTGGTCCTGTCTGCACCAGCAGTGAAGGCACGTGAGGCCTTCCATGCCAAGAGTTCGGATTCTAATTGGAGATATCTTTACTTATACAAAACACAACTATTCTGAGATGTATTCTCCAGTACCTTCTGATGAACTTTTGTAGGGATCTATGTATATATATATATAATCCAGATGACCTCTGAACTGTGCATACATATTGTAAGTACATTGTGCAAATGGGCACACGGAAGATCTGCATCCAAGCCCAACCTGCTGAGCTCAAAACCTGAGGAACAGCGATTTCCTACGGAGATGTTTCCAGTTTTCAGGTTCAATGCGAGTACTCCCTAAATGTGCCTGCAACCAGCCACAGGCAGAGACAAGACCACGGTGCCCGCAAAGAGTGAAGAGCAACCGCTGCCTTGCAGCGACAGAATATACACTTCAAAACACGCAATTGCATTTACCTGAGACACAAAAAGCTACAAAGCTCGACAAACATCCCTCAAAGGGGAATACTTTCATGATGATGAGTGCCATCAACTCGAGCGTCGGGGTGACTAAGCTTCATTTACTATATAAATACAGTATATGAACATGTCAACTGCTGACTTTGTAGACATTTCCAAATTCAGTGGTATCTACAACTCCAAACACAACGTAGTTCTGATCCGCCAAGCCCGGCTCCGTTTGTTTCGATCCGGTTAACGCCTCTGGAGGTCCAAGACGCGTACGGCTTGGTCGGAAGATGCGGCCAGTAGAACACCGGTGCCCTGGAGAAAAGGCCGGGGCGTATGTTATTTCTGATTTTTGGTTGCTTTTCTTCGTCAAGGGTGCCAAGACAAAAATCTTCTCAAAACAAAAAAGGACTGTGAAAAGGCCAAAACTGAGAGTGTAATGAGCTTGTGACACTTGTGGACAACAACATTGAAGGTTTTTGCTATGGAAACTAGCAAAATGTAGCAAGCTTGAACTTGAATGCAGTAGCGTTTAAACAGTATATGTTGTTGCAAGGCTGGACGCTATGCATGGATGGAAGCTTTCAACTGAAAATGAACATGTGATGATGTGTGTGATGATGAATTGACAAACGGTGCTCGATGTCAGGACGCGGGGATTGGACTGGGTTTCCTAACCATTCAGGGCTATATATTTATTCCATGTCCTTCCCCTAAACTGAGTCGCACTTTGTACCATCCCATCCGTATCCCGACACTCGCGAGCCCGGCCTCTGCGAGATGAAGATCTATCACCTCCAAGCCGTTTCCAGGTGGAAGAGTTCGTGGAACCGAGGATTCCGTTGCAAGATTTATACTATGCAAAGAGTAGTAGAACTATAGATGTGATGTAAATGATGTTGAATGATGTTGCTTGACACGGACACCAACATACAAACATCTGAGCTCTTTGTTTCTACATGTTTTTGTCCACGGGGCCCAGTGAATTTCAATCTGACTGATCTGCTTTTGTGGCCTTCCCCCGCCCACCAATTTTTGCCTTGGGAAGTTGTCGCGCGACCGAGACTTGGACTGCCAAGCGCCCAGTCACACCCTGGGCACAAGGCGTAGACCACCGCGGCATGAGTTCCACGCTTGATGGATGGGTTTCAGAAGCTTTTTCGTCGGCATGCTGGGACAACATTTCGTGCCCAACACCTGAAAATGTGGATTTAGTCAATAGCAGCATAGCAACCTGTATATAGATGTGGGCTTGGAAGCTGATGATATGTGTCTTCACAACATTCCATCCTGTTGACTGTTCACATGGCCAATATCGCTCAACAGCCGCCGTGAACTGACCATACGACTTCCTACTTACTCAGTAGCATGTCTGACAAACAATTTGATGAACACCAAGATCGATTTTACTATATATAATAGATTTAGTTTCAATATCTTTCAATTATGTTCATGCCTTCTCCCAAGGATCCTATGATGTCTCCCATGCTGCGCATTGCTGCCCCGAACAGTCCCTGGTTCTCAGGCGCAAACATCGAGGAGCTTCACGAAGCCATCGGACGTGCCCACTGCCACCAGCGAACGCCTGATTCGGGCCCAGCTGATGGTCGTCACACCGATGATCCGGTGACAGCGAACTGCACTTGGGAGTCTGGACGAATTCAATCGTCACGAAGTATAGCCGTATTCTTGGGCAAGCTTTCGGCTATGGAGCTCTTCACCATCATCCAACATCTCTATATGTGCGACGGCATTTATTTGGTACTTAGCTCAAATACACTATCTCTTATGTGGGGGCCCTATCTCGTTTAGACTACTTAAGCAGGAGGTCATGTCACAGTATCTCGTTCAGACTACTTTAGTAGCAAATCACACTATCTCGTTCAGACTACTTTAGTGACATCAAGCAAAAGTATCTCGTTTATGTGGGGGCCCTATCTCGTTCACAAGCGAATACTGATGATAGACAAACAAATAGAGCATGCCGTAGATTACTTTAGTAGAGCCTAAATAAAGTGGTTGCTCATATAGATAACAGTTTGGCATGGAGCACTTCATCCACATCCAGCCTGTCCATACAGTCTGCTTTTGAGACAGTGCTGAGAAATTGGTGAGCGGCTATACTATAATTACATCTTGCGAATCCAGCAGCCCTAAGAAATCACAATATACAATGAGCGTCTGGATATTGATTCGGCATCATAAGCATTCTAATTAGGCATTCTATATACCTTTTAGCTACCCCTTTCAACTGGCTATTCCTGAATCTGCTTCAGGCCGCAGCTGTCAGCTCCCAGCTTCGCTCACTCACCAACTCAGATTGACATCCATCCATTCCATTCACCTGATGCCCAGCAACTCCAACCCCTTGGACTCGTAGTCCCACCCGTCAAGACTTGGGGGTCCCTGCGGAAGAGAGGAAGAGCTGCTTTGCAAAGCTGGCGAAACAAAGGACATGAAGCCATGATGGTTTTCCATCGCAACATATAGTAATTGTTCATGAGTCATGAGTCATCATGTCCAGCAATACCAAAGGGTTTTGGTATACTTGGGCTTCCACCAAGTTTTTTGCTGAACATGTGCCACCCCTCTGAAAAGGCATGCTACATGAGATTCCACCGACGAGTTCGACCTGCACTGATGCAAGTCAGCTCCGTCTGCAAGTTGCCGCGCACCTGCAGGATGGCGCTGGAAGGCGCTTCAGTAGTCAGTATGGTAGTACGGCAGTACACACAAACCGCATTTCCCTTTGCTATTCCCATGTGATCCAGGTTAAACCTGCTCTTTCAGCTTAGTAAGTGCGTTATTTCAACCAAATCCAGCTCGCATAAGTTGCCCAAGAGCGCTGCACACCCGGACCGCCGGCGCAAGCGGCGCGTGGCCCAGTGGCCTTTTGGTGCTCGGGCAATTCCGGCGGCCTTTGGCTTCCGACGGTGCGTGTTTCGGTTCTCCCAGTCAAATTCTCTCCCGAACAAATACACAGAGTCTGCATCTTGGGCGGATTCTGGACTGCGACAACTGTAACTGTCGACCAGGATTGCAGTACCCACATGGCACCATAAAGCCAAGACCGTCCAATGTCCACGTTGGGTCTTGCTGATGCAGTCATTGGTCCAGTGCAATCAAACATGACCGGTGCAAAGCGCAGCTGAGATCGAAAAACAATCTTCTGAGACTGGTGATCTAGCATGATCTAGAAGCCAAACTGTTGCAAACAAGTAACATCAACTCAACAAACAGTGTAAAAGTTCTGCTGATTTCCGGTGTCTTTCATGTGTCTTCGGTCTATTCCATCTTGTCGCGATTTACCATCTGAGTCTGAGTGATTTCTATGAACTCACAACCTGAATGTTTTGAGTTTTCCCCTTTTTCAGGCCCTTTGACTCCTGTTGGCCACCGGGCCTCGTCTCAATCAGATCCACAGCCAGTCCTGCTGCACCTCAGCTGGCCCATTTGGCCAGAAACGGAAGGGACATCGAAAGTGTTTGAATGTGTTTGATGGTGGAAGGGAAGATGTGAATCAGTGAACACTTGACACATCACCCGCATCCACCTGCACACCCATTTGCTCAATCACGTGCAGTAAATAATCTTGAAGGTTTGACAGGACCACGTCGATGCACTCCCATCCGACTCTTAAACTCGATGCACTCTCAAAGCTAAGGTACAGTCTTTTTTCGAACTCGCAGAAGCGGAATGGCCGTGGATTCTTCACCTCCTCCGACCTAGCGCGGTGCTGTTCAATTTCCAGCACGGGCACATGGGCGAGTTTCGCATTGAAAGCCGCCGTGCCACAGCCACAGCCACAAAGGCGCAGGTCAACGAGTTTCGGCAACGACGCCAAGGCATCAACCAAAGGCTCCAGACCTTTGAGGTCGACGTTGTTATTTGTCAGATCCAGACTGACCACAGTGAGCTCCACAAGGTGCACAAAGGCCCTGGCCAATGATTCGGTGCCTTCAGCACCTAACTCGCGGTTATAGCCCAGATTCAACTGCAAATTGGTTAGCTGCGTTAGATTCTGCAGGGCTGTTGCCAATGATTTGGTGTCTTCAGCACCTACACCGTTGCTCTCCAGGTTCAGCTGCAAATTCGTCAGCTGCGTTAGATTCTGCAGGGCTGTTGCGAATGATTTGACGGATTCAACACCTACACTGTTGAAGCCCAGATTCACCTGCAAATTCGTCAGCTGCGTTAGATTCTGCAGGGCTGTTGCGAATGATTTGGTGCCTTCAGCACCTCCACCGTTGAAGTACAGATTCACCTGCAAATTTGTCAGCTGCGTCAGATTCTGCAGGGCTGTTGCCAATGATTTGGTGCCTTC